GAAATCCTTTCTTAAACGGATCAAGTGTGGACGACATTATGTCATAGAAACAAATATCTCTGCTACATTGTTTTAAAAAGACGTGCGGACTGGGCCTCACGCAGATCTGTTGAACTTTCAGGCACCTAAAAATTTTAGGCAAGGATGAACCAGGGCAAAAGGGATTACATCATACCGTTTGGCCTCCTCGAGGTGACACAGGTACTCATAGGCAATGTTTTGTCGTCTCCTCTCATCCATCTGCTCTGCTGACAGCCTCTCATCATCCTCAATCGCTGGAAAAAAGCAAGCAGATAAAAATAAATAAATAAATAAATTACTGAACTTTTCTTTGGCAGGTCACCTTTGTTTGCTTCACATTCACACTATAATACATCACAACTAGATTTTTAACAATAATCTGAAAACCTACGAACAAATTCAATTGTTATTGTTGCTTTTAGCAGCTTTTTTAAAACTGCAGTCAAACAATAAAACAAGTTCATCACTGAAATTGTCAGGGCTCGCCTAAGACCTTTTGGAGTTTCAGCAAATTTTAATTTAGCCCCTCCACCCCATACCAACATATTAACACCAGACATCTTATCATTCCTTGGCTACGATACGTGTACAATGTACCTACTTTTATTAGTGTCATTTGTAATTAGCTTATATCATACCGGTGTCATTATGGACTTTTATTTTAACCTCACAGTAGAAGCAAGCAAGCAAAGATGCTCTAATTAATTAGCATTTTGAAATGCACAGTGTTAATTAAGTGTGGCATATTCATTTAAATATTTTGAAAGTAACATCTGCAGACAAACATTTTTGTTGGTAAATTTGGAACTACAAAATAAAATCAAAAGATACTCTTGGGGAGCCTGACAGTGTTGGTGCCCAAGCAGCCCACTGACCTGCATTATCTCTGGCCTGGCTCTAGAAATAGTGACTGAATCACAAATTCCTTTTGCATGACAGCTTCAGTCAGAAATTTATTGATACTCCATCTGTGTCGTTTAGTGGATCACTAAAACTGGTTGGTTTTAGCGATCAACCAGATCACTAAAACTGTGGCAGCATTTTCCTGTAAAAGTGGGTTTGCAGCTTTAAATTAGAAGCTGCAATGAAAAACTGTGTAGCAAATAGTTGTGGCTTGGGTAGGAACCCAGGGTGACTTCTGCTGGGAGTTGACTGACACCTGCAGCTTAATGAGATCCCCTCCTACGCTTTACCTCAACTCTAATCCAATTAAATCCTTTTACTTCTGACTGAGCGCACATACAATCTCAGATCCGGGGACTAAGAGTAGAAAAAGGGTTTTCTTAGTCTGCCAATAAACAACCCAGCTGTAAGCTCCTTTAAGAGAAGCAAATCTGAAAAAAAAAGAAAAATAATAATTGAAAAATATATTTTCTGCTTTCTGCTGATACACAAATAGAGGTAGGTCAGTGTACCAGCCGGTCAAGGTACGCAGGAAGATTGGCTGCACTGCTGAGCTAATTTGAGCATACTACTATGACAAAAGTATTAATACATTCTTACATTGTGCCATATTTAGAACAATCAGCCTCAGACGTATGTCAGTTCACTTAAAATACTGGGCGCCTTCACCAGTTAAACAGCAACCACTTCATGGCAACTCACAGCTCAAAACTCAGCAAACCCAAAAACTTGTCAAGCAACCGTTAGATCCATCCAGTACTTTGCTGTGCATGAAGAATCCTCAATTTTTGTGACAATCCTCCAAAATATACAGCATCTATTTCAAAAATTGATAATTGGCCTACCTCAATAATAAAAAAAAAACTATAAATGGACATAAAAAAAAATAAAATTGAGCAGATGATCCATTTTATATTACATTCTTGCTTTACATTTTTATCTGGTATGTGGTTGATACATCTTTATCTATGATGGAGAAATTAAAACATTCTCAAAGCTGAGAAAATAAACTAAACTCTGATGTCAGTCTGAATCTTTTAAACCTCTCTAGGTTCACTCTGTAAAATTCTGGCAGCCATCTGCAGAGTCATCCATTTGCCAAGTCTTAGCAGAGGCTTGACATACAATCCTCACGTGTTAGGAAAGACACAAGCCACGCATGTGCGAGGCTGCCTCCACTACTTGGCTAAAAGATCCAGCACGGAAATCAACATATTATTTGCCTGTGCTGGCCAACCCAGCTGTGCAGATGACATGGGTGAAAAAAAATGTGTGTGAGCGCTCACTGCCGAGGCAGTGGCAGCAGCCATTAGTGACTCAGTCACACACTTCCTGGAAGAGCCTGACTGCACCGATCGTTATATTTAACTGTCAGGATGGGTTCAATGCTTTTGTATGTCAAAGGATCACATGGCGAGATCAATATAACTAATGTTTTTTTTTGTTTGTTTGTTTTTTTTGGCTGCAGTGGGTTCCCTTTCATCTTTTTTCCTGGAAAAGACAGAGATGCTGAAAAGAAACTCAAACTACAGGTTATGACATCACCATCTGTAGGAGTGACTTGTCCCAGAATGATGCTGTAAAGTAAAAAACACATGACAGAGGTAACTTTGGCTTGTTTGTCTTTTTCTCCCCGTTTTTTTTTTCTGAAAATGTAAAGTGTAACCAACTCTGTGTCAAAGATTTGCATCAGGAGGAACAAAATATTGATGCTCATTGATCAGTGTCACAATGCTGTACTTTGTTGCTTTCAAAAAAAAAGAAATCTTATCAGTTAACCTGCATTCTTGAGAGCCAGTTGCAAAATTCAATAAAGCAGCAGAAGTCTAAAGTTAATGGTTAACCTATGAGAAAAAGCCTGCTGAGTGGAAATGCTGATTTACTGGGTGTTATCACATGCCAAACACAAGAGGTGAAAATGATGGTGGTGCCTTCAGGGAAACAATGTGAGAAGAGGACAAATGAAATGTCATTGTTATACCGCTTTTTATCGCCAATAATTAGTTTCTTCGCATGTTTTCCTACTAAGTAAAAGCTAATGAGAGAACTATTGGAAAAGCATCCAGCTGCCAAGTGTCGTCAGGTGTAGGTGAACCACCTGCTGCTCATCACTGGCCTGCATTTATGCCTCACTGTAAAGTCCCCACTCAACTGGCTTCAACGCCAAAAACCCGATAGAAAACGTGCAACTTACTTCCATAGCGTGGCCTCTGCAACATTGTGGTTTCTTCATGGTACATCCTGCCTCGCTTCCTCCGCTCGTAAACTCGTCTGAACTGGAAACAACTTCAGCCAAGAAGCCAAGGTTTCAGCCAGACAACCGGCAGCGAGCCGCGCCTCTCTCAGGATGTGCTGATGAGATGAATAAGAAACTGCTGGGACCCGCGGAGCGTGGACGGGAATACGCCGCAAACAAGATTACAAAAAAATAAATAAATCATTAAGTGCCTGCTACGACCTCTTGTGGTTAAACCCCCATGGTTTGCGCTACTTTTGTCTGAGTTCTGACCAAAGTGCTCCTGGTTGCGTTATCTGTCCTCCACCACGACCTGACATGAGATGATTGACGGGACAGTCGGTGTAGATTTAGCACCTTTGCGACACCTGGTGGTCAAAAGGTGTGATGACGCTTTAAAGAATGGAACTCCATGCAGGAATCATTACTATCTCGCTCAATATTTTTTTCTTTTCTTTTTGTTGTTTTATCAGCTGTTGGGTTGAAAAAAGTCGTTCTAAATATATATTTTACATGCTTACTTCACTGTCTTACATGCAAGTCTTTATTTCATGTACTCCATGCCAGCTCTACAAATAAAAAAATATATATTTTTTACAAAAAATAAAAATATTTCTGTATTTCACCTATATTTCACCTATCTGCGGTTCACCTATGATGATTAGTTCATCATAGGTGATGAACATGACTAGTTCATCGCCCATGAACTAATCTGAAAAATATTACTAATACAAAAAATATTATGTTCACAAGAATTTTAAGTTACAGTCTAACAATAAACGCATATTTGTTTATTTGAACAAGCCACAGACACAGCAAAAATAGTTTTCTGGTCAGTTTTACATACAGTTTGACCTACATGCAAAACACTTTGTGTTCCAGGAAACTAATTGCACATCATCATGTACACCATTTCCACCATAGCACATAGTGGTGGTAGCATCATGCTGTGGTGATGTTTTTTTGTTGTTGTTGTTGTTGTTGTTTTTGTCAGAAGCTGGTAAGAGTTTATGGAGCTAAATACAAGTTACATTTAAAAACAAATTGTAAGACGGCTAAAATGACTTGAGGTGAGGTTGAGGTTGGCCTTAAGTAGGACATCAATTCAAAAACCAACTGAGAATTTGTTCAATCTCTGTGACTGAGCTCAAACCATTTTGAAAGGAAAATTGAGAAAATTTCAGTCTCCAAGTTTTCAAAAGTGGTAAAGTTAAATGTGAGACTTACAGCTGGGAATGAAGCTGAATTCAAAATTCAAGAGTTATGTACCTTACCTGTATTAACAAGATAGTGCAAGGGATTTGTTTCTGAACAGTGCACATAAATGGAATACATTTAGTATATTTCCGGGTGTGGTATATGAATCCTGCTGAAATGAACTGTATTTAATTACTCAACTTCTATCCAGTAGGTGGCAGCATAACTCAAGCTTGATGAACACTACCACAGAAAATGTAACACTTTAAAATGTCTCTTTACTCTGTCATCTGGCAGTTTACACATGACAGTTCTTAAATTTAATGTACGAGTTTGATATAACTTTCAGATCTGAATGCTTATTCTAAGGTTTTGTGAGAAAATCTTTCAACAAACCTCTCTCAAGTTTCACTTTTTAAAAAAACTTACAGAATGGCTTTCTGCATGTTTGCATGTGCAAAACCAATCAGTAGATGAACAAAGGAATTGTATTAGTCAGCTATATTGTATGTTTTCTGCAAACTACGAACTCCAGAACTCCATATTGGTGAAACACAGCAAACATCAAAACAAATATTATGTCATCAGATGATTCACCAAGTTAATACATTAAAATGAAAGTACAACATGGTTTGGAAGAGAACATAACTTTTATTACACTGCATATGTTCAAAAGCAGCCCAGACAGCAGACTCTGTCTTTTCAGTATCTCATTTAGAACACAGCGAGTCATTTGGCAAATATTTATTCACTTTTTTTTTTTTACACATCTCAGTCATCCTCTGGCTGCCTTTGCAATATTATCGACGGCTTAATTCTCCACATATGTTTGACTACTTTCAAAAAAGATGGATCAACAGAACTTACAAGAGATATACATTCACATTTTTCCTCAACAAACTCAAAATGTTGCCATCACTTTCTTCCAGGACAATTTACAGCAACATCACAAAGGTAAAAAGAAATTAACCCTGGAGTTGGTCCTACAAACATGCAAGTTTGCTCACGCACACACAGAGCAATAGCAGGTGAAAGACACACACACACACACAGATGTACAACAGAGATACGGGACAATAAAGGGACTATCACCAGGAGACAAATGAATCAGAGGAAGCTTGCACACACTTAACTCAGAAATTCACATATATTAGCTTTGATATGTACAGAATATTTACATTCATTCATTCGTATAGACACAAACACGTACAGTTTGCTCAGTTTCTGTCTTTCATCCATGTACACACACACAAATACAGTACATGTAGCTTTTATACCAAATCCTTCAGTCCTGACAGGTAATAGATCATTTGTCCCATCAGCCTGATCTGCCACTGAGCCTTTAATATATCCACAACCAGGCAGATCGCTCTGTCTCACACTTATGCTACAGATAGCAGTCAGCAGTGCTGGGTATTAATGATTGCATTGTATTTATATTTTTGTTGACTGCAATGCTCTTGGTTCAAGAGTAGCTAAACCAAGAGTTCAACAGAGATTGGCTGAGCAACAGCCCAATACTTCAGTATATATTTTCAACCCATCTTACAAAATAGAGATAAATGTGAAGGTTGCACAAACAGTAGTGGGGCCTAGAGGAGGTCTTAGTTTTTTAAGTGGCCCTATGTAAGAAGGCTTCAGTGAAGGGTATTCTACAACTACAGTCAACATACCACAAAGACAAAGAAATGTGTGGATAGAGAGTAATACAGAAAACTGAGTTCACAGGCACAAACTAAACAAACAAGAATGAAAGAAAAGAATGAGAATATCAGTTCACCCCTTCAAACAAAAGGAGAAACGGTATGAGAAAATACAATTTTGGAGAAACTATGGAAATAGTAAAATGACCTTAACATAGTTTTATTCATTTTCAATATGTTACCTCTTTTCATATATTCTCTTCAACAGTGTATTGGAGGTCTCAGAATTGAGGAAACAGAACACAATATTGTAACATAATGACTCTTACAAGTGTGTCACTTTTTTAAAAGCATATTATAGGAAACTGTCACAACAATCTACTTGAAATTAACAACTTTTGTTTTGAAATTGCAAATATACACTTAACACACACACACACACACACACACACAGTACCTTGTGAAAATATTGATCCTTGCAATATTTTTACATTTTGTTACATCAAAAACACAAACCTCATTGGATTGTATTGGGATTTTATGTGATAAACCAATAAAGTCTTGCATAACTGAAGTGGAGGAGAAATCATTATGCAAAGCTAAACAAAAATTGTCATTACAAACTATGCAAAAATGTCGAGTCTGTTTATCCCTATTCTCAGACGTACTTTAAGAATACATCCTTAAAGTTGAATGGGGGTCTGTGCTCTATGAAGACGGTTCCAAGACCGTCTTGTTACATTGGTTTATCACAATTTATTAACACTTTGGAAAATCACTGGAAATTGAATAATCCAAGACAGTATGGGACAGAATATAAATAAATAAATAAATAAATAATAAAATAAATAAATAAATAAAGTATATCCATTTACCCTCTGGTTTATTTCTCTCATTTCTATAACCTTTGGAAAGTGCAAGACTATGGGCAGATTGATCCTGTCAAAGAGAGGGATATTCTAAAAAAGGCCATTCAGTATTTATCTTTTTGTTTTTTAAGAAAATGGCAGGCACAGTCACAGAGACAGGACTCAACACAAAACTTACATCGGAAAACAAGTCCTGAAACAGAATGTTGAATATCTATATCTGGAGTAAAACGACTACTTTTTCAGCTTTCACAGTCACACACCGGGTAATAAAGGCGTCACCTCATATTTAACATTACATTTAATGGTACAAGAAAATATAATTTATACTATGGCCTTTTCAATTCAAGGTTGAGATTATGCAAATGGCTTGGTTTCCTAAATAAATGATCTACTCTCAAACGTCGATGCAGTCTGAGCACATATGCAACAAAATATTAAGGAGTGCAAATTTAGAGACGAATAAAAATGTGTCAGTATGTAAAATGTTTACTCATCTAACACTGTTTGCCTATGTAGCAACTTTCTGCACAAATGTTCAGTGCTCAGAGTGTGAGTGCTGTAGGTGAGCCAGGTGTCAATGAATCCTCTCTGTCTGATCAGGAGCTCCTATGTTGTCACACAACAGCTTGGTTGTGCTCATTACAGCTTGTTTTTCACTTTTCTCCCCATCTGGCCCATCTTAATAAGACTGTATCAATATTAAAAGCCTCAAGCTTCCATCATGAGGTGTCTATGTAAGGTTGTGACTGGAGCTGGAGGCTGCAATGAGTCAAAAGAAAAAAACTCAGCAGATGTTGACCTTCGAATAAGTATTCTGGGTTTGTAAAGATGTGATTTACTAGTGAGGGGCTTTAATAGAAGTACAGCAGATTACTAAAGTACATAAAAAAAAACATTGGATATTTTAAAAATATGTCACGTTTCAACTACCAACGTTTCCAGAATTAGACACACAAGGGAAGCATTTTGTTTCTATGCCCCTTATATCTGGAAACCTGGGATGTGCAGAAAATGTCACTTCTTTCAGATCATGACCAAAAAACATTTTAATAATCCAGCTTCCAACTCAAAAATCTGACGAATTAATTGTTTTTTTGATCATTCAAAATTATACTGGAACTGAAATTTGGATTTAAATCTGCATTTTAACAGTGGTTTCTTCTTTGTGCTTTTCAGTGCTTGACAAATTAAACTTTATATTAGAGCAAAACAACGTGTTTTCTTTTTGTTTAGTAAAGCACTTTTTACTCCCTTATGTTGTAGTGATATCTAGCTGTTTGTACTTTTAGCTTCATTTGTGTTTTCAGTTTTAATCATGAATATTTACTTAGATTTGGTCTTCCTTATTCTATGTGATTTACATCTCAGTTTATTATTATTTGAGTATTAGATCTGGGTTCCTTTTGTTGCTGTTTTCTTTAAAAACAGCTAATAACAGCTAATTGTTTCTCGTTTAGTTTGATTTTCTGCTCCTTCTTCCCTTGGCTTGTCTCTCAGCTCAGCTGATGTACATCTCCTAAATTTCCTCTCCTCCCCAACCATCCCTACTCATGATTACCTCTTCTGGTGGTCATATTATTCTGCACTCCTTCCTCAGAACATATCGGCTCTTCACCCGATCCTTCTGTTGCATTCTGTGATATTCTGTGATTCCTTTCACAAGCTCTCTGGTTGGCTCCCCGCCGGTTTCCGCGTCTCGCTGGAAGTCTTTTTGGATTTAGCAATAAAGCCTCTGTACTCCACCTGCTGCCTCCTATTATCTGCACTTTGCTCCTACCTAGAACCAAACATTACAACATGGTGCTTCATATGCCTTACAAACGTTAATGCTTGCATTGGGTTTTTGTGCGCAAATAAGAATAAAGTCAAAATAATGGATGATTTTTCTAAATTTTCATAAATCTCAGAAGTACATAGTTCCTTTTCTTTGATCCTTGTTAATGTAATCCAGAGCAATCAACTGACTAAATATAGTCCACCTGTGTGTAATTTAATCTCCATATAAATGCACCTGCTGTGTTTTGTCCCCTAAGAACATTAGTGAAAGAAAAACATCATCATGAAGATCACAATTGTCAGATTTCTTTTTTGTGTTAGTTTGTCATGTAAGTTCCAATTATTCAAATAAAGTTTATTATAATATGACAGTATGTGGAGAAAATCCTGAATTTTTCTTGAAATTAACACACTTAGGGCAAACCAAGCCACTTGCACTCCCTGTGAAAAGCTAGTTTGGCCTTCTTGAGAACTCACAGGACTTATCAAAGTTGATGGCGTTACATAAGAACATTTGACCGCGTGTCAGGCAACCGCAGTGCGACCAGCCCCCCTCCCACGAGCACCGAAGAGGCCATGAGGATAGGGACAGCCTTGGTGATGCCAACAAGTGAGCCAAAGATCAGGTTCCCCAGGACAGCAGCAAGCTTACACAATGCGTTACAGAAACCGAAGCCTGTTCCTCTGCAGAGAGACACATCAGGAACAAAATGAGAGTTAATGAAAACAAAGTAAAAAAAAAAAAATCAGAAATGTCAGTTAATCCAAAAATATCTTTGATTAATCTGCCTGTCCACCAATGCGTCACCATTCCTCCTCACCTCCTGACAGTGGGGAAAGACTCTGTGGTGACCACATCGAGGGAGTTCCAGGCCGAAATGCTCAGACCGTTGTAAAGGCACAGCATGAAAATCATCATGGACTCACTGGTGCCAAACCACAAGAAGAAACAGCTGATACCAGACAGGATCATGGAGCCACCTGATAAAAGTGACCAGATAAAAGTACTTTATTTCATCTCTGTCAGTTTAGTATTTAACTGTTAATACCTAAAAATAAGAACGAGAGAGTTAACAGATATATGTGATTAAATCAAACAAACCTATCCTGTTTTAGACCCATTAGTTTTATAAGTCCTTAAGTTATTGATCTGGAAGAAAAGGCCACACCAAGAAGAATAAGTTGTTACTCCAAAAATAAGATGAAAAGCCTGAGTACAATAAGAAAATGCATTTTGGGACATGCACATCTCCCTGAGTGCATGTTAAATTTTCTGATGAAAAATTTAACAGTGTTTGCAAACTACAAGCCCTGAGTTTTATGAAAAAATAGGAAACTTGCAAGCTTGAAAATAACATAGACACAAAGACATCATCCAGAGGGTTAAACTTTGGTCAAACACAATTTTTCCGTTTGGAAAAATAGTCTTTTTAGAAAAGGGAAAACTGAATTAGTTACAATGTGACCTGAGGACATCAAAGTCTGTGTTTTGGTGTGGACAACAACAAGATTTGATTTTAGTCCCATAGACCAGTAACAGCAACATTAATCAGCCAAAATTCCAGTAAACTAGTGAGAAGGTCCAAAAACAGTGGATCCAAGTCATAAAGTTTAAAAGGTAATTCCTCCAAACTATTTAGAATTTGAAGAAAGAATAAAAGTGTCAGCCTCATTATTCTGGAATTTGGCAAATATACTAATATTTGACAACCTTAGGCAACTTTTAAAAAATAAATTTGGGCTGATTTACACCAGAGTGAAAAAATATTTTTTCTTATCATTCAGTATATGTAAATATCTGGTTTCAGGCCGATCGATTACATTTCCAACCCATTTTCCTACCTAACATGGACAAACGCCCAATTTTGTCCATAAGAAGAGCAGACACAATGTTGCCTGGAAGAACAGCCAGTGTTCCCAGAAAGTTGATGAAGTAAACCCAGTAAGCACTGTAGTCATCAACAAATGTCATCTGGCAGCCAGTCTTGTTGTGGGTAAAAGTGCTGTTAATCACCTCTGTTCCCTCTACCAGCTTGGATTCATCGATATCTGCAGAGAGAACGAAGCAAAGCAAATCCTAAGGATACTTAGTGATCTGACAAGCAATGATGACAAAACATAAAAACCCATTTTTGTGCAAATGCAACTTTTAGTGCATTTATCTTATCATTAGCAGGAATATTGCAGTTGAAGCAAATCAAATGTGTTTCTGTGTTAAAAACTGAGTCCTCATCTGAATTTGATTCCAGCAAAGTCTTTGTGAAGAACCAATGTTTCTGCGATGCATGGAAAAGAAAACATTTTGGACTTGTTTTATTGAGACATGCAAAATGTTTCCTGAAAGAGGCAACGTCTTAAATCAGGATAGACTTCTTTAGAAATGTGGTAGTGTCAGTCATGTAGAGTGAGGCTTTATCTTATTTTGACAAAGCCTGTAGCATTTTAAGGAAAGTTCTCACCTGTGTTGAAGAAGAAAGTGTCAATAAATGTACAATTCTTGAATATGGAGCCCACCGACGTCACGTCATCAAAGTTACAGTAACGAAACGTGGAGTCAATGAAGGTGACGGATTTCAGCTTCATGTTGACAAACCTAAATGACAACCATTATGTTATGAATACATGAATCAGCATTGGTACAGTGGTTAACATATAATTAAATTTACAGTCAGCATACATATGCTATGCTATACTTAAATATAGATACTTCTTAAAGATATTGAATCTACTGCTCATGTCGCTGAACAGACATCTTACTGGTCATGAATGAATGTCCCATTTCTGTGGATCTGGTTCTCCAGGGTGAAGTTAAAGGTGAAGCCTTCAATGCGTTCATTATTGTGGATCTGCACTTTGGAAGCATATTCATCTGCCTGAAGGTGTTTGATGACATCAGGGAACCAAACAGACAGACCATAATACCTGCAATGATAAATAAAATAGTCTTGCTCCACATCAAATATCAGGTAAAACCAAATATTGTTGAGGTTAGACTAAAAAAATAAATTAATTAAAATAACAGGTGGTAAAAGACCAGTGGACACGTTTTTTTAAAAAGTGATTTCATGGTTTTTATTTGTAGGATTCTCTCCAGTGGATCTTTATCATCACACAGGGCATGATTCATGTCTGGACTGCTCAACTTTTGAACAGCAGAGAGATCAAGATGACAGCACTGTGATGAGGCCCTGAAGCTATTATCTGACCCAAAAGAATTGTGTGTTTTTATCTGTAACAAAGACTAGATCAGAAGAACACCTCACCCAAAGGACAGCGTGAACCACACTATAGCCAGTCGCATCATGTTTTCCTGCATAGGATACTTGAAGCACTTCATGAGGTTTAGATAGATCTAAACACAAAAGAGAAAAAAAAATCAGATTATGTTTCACATTCATATTGTGATAAACCCATTAGAGCAGAGGAGGACAAAAAGCAAATATATTTACCCCATGTAGTTCAGCTTTTATCCTGAAGAAAAATTTGGAAACTGGGTTTCCAGTTTCTGATTCCATTTCAACCAACTCATCCAGTTGTCTAGGGATTTTTATCCTGTTTACCTGTTGAATTAGTAATAAAAAAGTAGCATAAATATTTACTTACAGTACAATAGTTAAGTTCAGGTTTGTATCTTAGACATTAAAGTATTACAAGAACAACTATGATGATTCAATATGATAAAGTAGAGTCAATACATTTACATACATATTTAAAATCCCAGATAACCCCATCAAATAGATCATATTCTGATTGAAAATTGTTTTTGTTAAGTATTTTACATTTCTTCCAATTTCTAATGTACTAATTAGACAGCAGGGTGCTGGACAGTACTGTTCTACCTAATTAGACAATTCATGATCTTATTATGTAGCATAGTTTCGTCTTTTCATGTGACTCAATGTGAAATATCAGTGAAGTAAAAAATATGCATATGCAGTGCAGAATTAATTCAAGAAACTTGTCTTGACTAAGCAGCTTTCCCAAAGTGCAGCCCAAGCAGCAAATAAGTCTGAATGACAAGAAACAGCTCTTAGACCCTGTGGTAATTCAGACATGATCCTGCCTAGTGAAAAAATCCAAACCTGTCCCGGTGGTGGCAGAAAATAAGCCTCTTTGCTTCCTTAAGCATAGGAAAACCCGGCGGAGTCTGTGAAACATCCGCAGCAAACACTCACAGTGAAGACTTTCTCCGGCAGCCCACGTGTTCTCATGTTGGTGTCGTGGATCTGCTTGAGGATCATCCAGCCCTCGTCGTGCTTCCCAACCTGTCAGGAAGGAGAGAGAAACGAGTGACAGCAAAGGCGAGACACATTTACCGGACGCGTCTTCCAGCAACCACTTAACATCAGCAATTACTGTACACGAAGTTGGTCCTTTGATATGTCAGTGGCGATTCACGACACAGGTGACTCACTTCGCTTCACTGGATAATGATCCACCAGCAGAACAACCAGCTGTTAGAAATCTAAATGCTTTTCTTGTCCAAACATGCAGAAGTCCAGTTGTGTGTGACTCACACTTTTTCAGTCTGATCAAATCCATAAATTTATAAAAATCCATAATCTTAAACATTTGTGGACAACATTTTGGTAGAAATGACAAACAAAGCACATACAGCTGAGCAACAATAGGTTTCTAGTTATCCAGAAAGGGCTCATTACCTCAAGGTAGTATCTGGGGCTTTCTGGCATGAAGGTAAGAGCCACCACAGCACACACACATGGCAGGGCGCAAACGACGACAAAAACCCTCCAGCTGTGAAACTGGTATGCCGACCCCATGCTGAAGCTCCATCCTGCAGTTTGTAGGAAACAGTCATTTTCAAAATCAGTCAATTTACATTAAATCTCATCGAGTCTTATAAATAAAGAACCTTAGCTTCCCTCAGTGGGCAGCTGTGCTGAACAGAAAAGAAATAAAAAAAACATAATGTACGAATGAGTCTTTCTGTGACATATTTGGGATATGGGAAGCAATTATTTTGCCATAGAAAGTTTTCTAGATATTTTGGTCAGCTTAAAACAAGTGAACAGGAATTACTCAAATAAAGATGTTTAAAATATTTATAGTTAAGCTATAGGCAGATGCTTTTATTCAAAACAACTAACAATGCAGTTAGGATCAAAGCTAACAATGGGCTACTTGGAAAGATCCAAGTACTCGAGATCCTGCTGTATGGAGATGACAAAACAATTTTGAATATTTACTCTGTGCTGAAACCAAGTGCTACATAAATACCATCTCATGTACAAGAGTCAGTCTAATTCTGAAAAAAGAAATTACTTGAAATAAAAATGACATTTAAATGATAGCTCTCTGACTAAGCAGAGCGATGGGGACACTCAGAGATGAATGAGTCTGCAGGGTAAGCAGAGAAAAAGTAAAAAAAAAAAAAACACACACACACACACAGGGACGGGTTAATTGAATGCGTAGGAATGGAATTGAGTGTTTTCTGCTGAGTTAAATCTTGTTGCACCTGATCTCAGCCCACAGACAGTCTCTCAGACTCATTAATCATTGCAACATGCAGGGGGAAAAGCACACACACTGGTGCGTGTAAATGTGTGGGTATACACTCTAAGAGAAGATACCAGAGCTGAAATAAACAAGATGGATGACCGCATAGAGATTATACTGACACACCATAGTGTCATGTCAACTCTCCACCTACGAAAACACAAATAGATGTACATGCAAGTCATAAATTGTTTTTCAGGTTTTGTGCAACTTCAAAGACATATTTTTATTTCTATTGTTCAAATCATTTCACAAAGTGTAGGATATGCCATGAAACCGTTTTACATTTGCATCTTTTCCAGTTTAGTAACAATTTGGAGCTTTGCAAATGCAACAAAGCATTATGTACATATGCTGCCTTGTCATGCACTTTTAGTGGCATTTTGTACACTGAAACCCATTTTATCCATGTGCTTATAAATGTGTGAGTAGGTTTAAAAGCAGCAAGGATAAACTTCAACATGAACAGTCTGCCACACGCTGACTTTAGTGAGTGCTCTTCGTGACTTCACTATTTTTTTAAAAATTACACAGGATGCAGAGAAATCGGGGCCCCGCATGCTCGTCGTGACCTCCCACGTCTCTCCACAGATCGTGGCTCATGGAGATACAGCTCCAAAGGGAATGCGGCACCGTTATCCATCAACAGGCATAGGAGGGGAGCCACGGGGTAGGGAGGGGGTTAATGCTAATGGTTCTGCCAGAAAACGGCTGTTTGGAAATAATCCCACCGTGTATTAAAATCCAGCTCTGATAGCAGCTACAAACAACTGTCATCAAGGTAAAAACAAAACGGCTTGCAAAGGTAAAAAAGAATAAATAAGATATTAGCATGTTATGCTCGTTTAATAGTTTGGTAATATTTTTAGTATTCGTACTACAGGGTAAAGTAAACTCATAATAATTTTCATTTAAGTGTATATTATTGCCTCTTACCTAAAACACATCAAATAGCATAGGCAGAATTTTATCCATTTGCAAGAGTTTTTGATGAATGTGCTGACAGTTTAAAATACAATTTTTTTTCACAGATTCTCTTTAAATAGAAATAAAAAATAAACGCCCTGTCTAAAGGAGACGCAAGATAAGTCCTTATAGAGGTACTTCTTCATAAATTAGTTGTGTTTTGATGATATTTTTGAAAATAAAGCAGGTATTAAACAGACCTGCTTTAAAGTTAAACATTAAGACCACATTTCCATATTAGATCATCATTTTAATTGTTGCAATAATTAACATGTGCATAATACCATGGACACACAACCCTCATGGTGAAAAATGAGGGTGGCAGCATCAAACTGAATGGAAGGAAATTTTCAGTGAAATATTTTTCTACAAGACAGAATCCACCAATTTTCTGTATGACCTGCTAATTTTGAAGCCAGTTCTGGTTTTATTTTTATTTACTATAACGTAATAAGATTCATTTGTGCCATTTTATCAAAAAAACATAGTAAAAAAAAACAAACTTGACTGTAAAAAGAAATGTGCAGCAGTCTCCTGAGGGAGAGGTAGTACATTTGAATTAAAAATAAAATACTACAACTACAAAAAAATATCTATTTTTGTAAATCTTGCACCAAAACTATGCAGGCAAAACCAGTTTTTAACTGCATCAACAGAATTTCACGCTCAGCATTTTAAGATTTTTGATATTTATATCTGAAGGGATTAAGATGGAGAAACAGATTCAGCTATCTCCAGAAATATAGTACAACTTCCTGCCACCGAGGGACAATGTTCCCTTCATACTACTGGAAATCTCATTATAGGAATTAGGCACATAATTGTCTGAAGATGTCCAATTCAGCTGAGACGGCCAGCTGAATTAAATATGAACAGATTGATGGGCAGATGCATCCATTCTTTACAGTCTCAAGTTTACATCTATAGGCTTAATGGGGCGGGGGGTGGGTTTGTTTGTTTGTTTGTTTTTTTAAAGTTACATGTAGGACTGGATTTATGTAATTTATAGACATGCAGAAAGTTCAAACCTCGTCTTTTTGGGCCCTGATGTTCTAGAAGAAAAAAATTGGCACTTGGGAATATCTGCTTATTGTCTGAGGTTCAAATACAAGCAAAGCAAAAATATCTTAAGCTTGTTTCATATCATGGTTCCCCAATAAAAACACAATCATAAATTCCCCTTTTGTGGATCATCATAGTTTGTTCTTTAATTAACACAACAACAAAAAAAACGACTTGAAGTTTTATACCTATCAGAATATACATAGATTCTTCAGAGACAATCTACATAAGTACCCGAGTTAAGAATAAGAGCACAGTGAGGCAACTACTCCCCTTTTAATATGACAACAAAAGATGTGACAGCACAGTGACCTACTAAAGACGTGTCAAGTTCTGGTTTTAGAAGGCTATCGTACTAACTCTATATCAGTGTGCTTCTGCCCATCCTAATGAAAGAATCTGCAGCAGAGCTCAGGCAATAGCATATAATAAAACAAGCCCTCAACTAAAACTCTATCAGTGGTTCTCTCTCTCACTCGCTCTCTGTGCGAGTGTGTGTGTGTGGGTGTGTGTGTGTGTGTTTTAACTCGACTGACCTCTTCCAGTGTCAGATTTTATTTCTTTCACTTTCCTAGAGAAAGACCTGTGTGTCTGCTGTACTCATAAAATCTCACGCACTGCAACGTGCAGCAGTGCATGAGCACACAAATACCCACAACACGCACACTGCGCTTCTCTCTGAGTGACGTCACAGGTCGGCTGAAGCATAGGCTGGTCATAAATCACTTCTAGATGTAGCTTTGTCCTATTAGAGCAAGGAGAAAAATCTAATTATGCTTGATCAAGACGAACACTCTGCAGAGACGGAGAGAGGAGTGGTAATAAAAGGAGGGATAGTCGGGGAGCTGTGGAGAGAACAAAGCAGGAGGAGATAGGATCCAGTAAAAGGAAGGAACAGCAGGTTTAAAACCAGGCTAGAAATAAAAACAGCACGTGGTGGAGGGAGATAGGCAGCCATTTCCTAGTTAACCTTAATGAGGTGACGTGCAACCTAAACGCTTTCATCCCTTCTTTCAACAGAATATTTGTTTCAGCTAATATTATTCTGCTGTTTAAATTCAACAAAATCCAGAACAGCATTTTAAAATCCTCCCTGTTCTAGTGAGAAAACCGTGCTCTGCACAAAGAGATAATTGCAAAATCACCAGAAAATGCCATCCTACTGACACATGATAATTCAGTGCAGGAAATGCAATTCGGTTCATTTCAAGTTTAATTCAAAAATTCTTTATTAATCCCAAAGGGAAATTGAATGTTGTTATAATCCAGATTATCCTACATTCTCCAAAGAGTTGAGGCTGTAGGAACTCCTGTTTTTGTAAGTACTGCAACAGACCTGAAGTTGAGGATTTATTTGATCTTTTGAAATGTTAATCAGCTGCTCCTGAATGTAAAACCAACACCTTGCTGCTATGGCTACGCATCACAACAGCTGTCCAAAAGTGAAAATCCTTTCGCCTATCCAAAACAAGAAGAAATAATCATCAAAAAACGGCACCCTCCAGGGTTCAATGAAATGTGGCCGTGTTCTGAAATGACCTCAGTTGCATTTGAAACTGGAATCTCCAGACGTCACCCCTGCAGCCTGTCTTCTAATAACCTCCACATATTTCTCTCCTGACTCCAACTTTCCCAGTTGGATGACACTGAGCGCTTTTAGATGATTGATTCACACGGCAGTGAAAACAAACACCTCAAACTTTAATTATGGAGAGAGCAGGGGCAGATGGGTAACTGTAGTCAGACACTCAAACTGTGTACTGCTACACTCAATCTGTAAAGCAAGGCTTTTTTAAAAAGCATAACCGGCAGCATACTTCAGCTTTTATTTTATTTATTAGGTCTGTGTGCTTTCCACTATTAATGAGCTGATTGTCTTTAGAAGAAACTAACAGAACCGTTTTATTTCAAGCAATTTTTTTCCGTCTATAAGTGACTTCTTTATTTGGGGGGACCTGTAAACTCACCGTAGTGCGGTATAATGGCCCAGGCCATGGCAGATGCATAGATCTCTCCAATCATCCAGAACATACACAACCAGCTGAGGTGTTCTCCTCTTTTCTCTCTGGACAACACCTCTGCAAAGAAGGAGAAAACAATGGGCACAGCACCTCCTATCCTGCAAGAGCGAGACAAAAATCCCTTTAGAAACAGCGACCGATCAGTAAAAATTGTTGAACTCCCCTAAAATACCTAGGATTTACAATGCAATTAGCATCCCTCTTTCATTTGTTTTTAAGCATTAAAACATGACAATAATGTGGTCATTACTAGGTTTATTTTTTTTTAAAGTGCACCAAATTATAGGGCATCATATGGTAATATAGACTCTGTATCTATTTATTAACACAAAGTACTGCAAATACTAAAGCTGTCTGAATACTTTCTATAACTTGTTTAGCAACAAAAAGTGAATAAATAGGTAGGTCCCCCATTGATTGCTTTGTTTAAGATTTAATGAATCATAGATTGTGTAGGGATATAGTGGCATATTGTGTAGTTGTTCTTATAATTGGGCTTAGATTGTCTCCTTTGTCCCTGATATGCAGATTCTGAAAAGGCATCGTTTTTACAGATACAACACTTGCTTTGTCTGTTTTATGATATGTTCATTGATATTATTCAAATTTGTCAGATTGCAAAGATCATTTTTTGTGGTGTTCCTTTTTTTTCTGTGATCCTTTTTGGCCTGTTTTCACATAGCATGGTAGAAAACAAGCCTGCATACAAATTTGCCTTCATTCAGGGACAGATCTCCTTCTGGCCACTGTTTCAATTACTCTGAGAGTCTCTGGAGAGAATGATGTAGGTGCAATTACTGAATTAGCTCTGAAACGAGCAGCAATGTTGCCAAGATATTAAATCACAGTCTGTCAAGTGTCTAATGTAAGTGCAGGACACACTTTATAGTTGGCTCGAACGAGAAATATCTATAACCCTTGTTTAAGATAAAAAAAAAAACATGATACATCAATAAATATTGAAGTAAAGTTTCACAAGATCAAAAATGATGAATGAAGTGAAAGTATAATCAAAGGAATCTTGCCAAATTTTTTGAAAGCAAACATTTGAAGAAAGAAGCCCACATTTAAATTATTTGTCTCACAAATTAAATCTCTGACTGACTGGAATCAGTGAGCTGCCAGTTGCCCCACTGACGTTGAAGCAGATTTCTTCAGCGTCACAGTCTACTACTTTACAAGATTGCGTCTTGACCTCGACATTATCAGACTTACCCGAAGCCAGCGACGATACGGCAGAGAAGGAAGAGTCCGTATCCCTGGACAAAAGATGACAGGAAGGCAAAGAAGCCATTTGTGGACATGCAAATGAGGAGGCACTGTCTGCGGCCCACTTTGTCAGACATTCCTCCCCAGAAGAAAGCTCCAACCATCATTCCCAGGTACACAATGCTGCCTAGAAAAAGAGCAAACAAAGCAGCTTTTTTATTTACCTTTACAAATTACGCACTGTATATACTAACAGACGAACTCTACTATATTTGTTACTGTAATTTATCATGTATTCAATATATTATATGAAATATTACGAAAATATTTTTATCTCTTGACCTATTTTACATTTTTTCACATTGCAACCACAGAAGTCCTTTAGTTCTGTTTGGAAAACCAACAGAAGGTGGCAAACACTTGTGAAAGTACAATTATTCTTCTTAGACTGACTTTAGATCATTATACCGAGATGCTCCTGTTATTGCAATCCAGAAAAGGAATTAGAGCGAACTTAGAACGCAGAAAAAAAATTTCGGTACAAGAACACTTAAGGAACATTTAGTTTTAATTTTATCACTTAGAGACTGTGGAGTAATCATTACTTTTACAAATTTAGAGAAAATCTACCTTAGCAACTACTTTTTAGATTCCTATTATTCCAACCCAGAAAGGGAATTAGACCAGAGGATATTTGCATAAACTTATCTAGCAACCTGAAATTGGAGTATCTAGTTTATATAGTTTGGATCAACATTATTAGATTCTTTTTCTTCTTTTGCTCTTTCCTTTGGTTTGTTATTTTGTTTGTATTTCCTTTTAAGTCACGTAAAGCACTTTGAATTGCCTTGTTGCTGAAGATGTGCTATATGAAAGGATACACACATATAAATCAGAGGTGTTTTATGGATTTGCATTCAGCCATCAACTGTGACCATCGTCCCTCCGCCTGCTGAAGAAAAGCATCCCCACACCATGATGCTGCCATCACCATGTTTCACCAGGGGGAGAGTTAGTTTTTCACATACTACAAACCCATTTCTGCAAAGCTTTTTTTTTCTTTCTTTCTTCATTTAAGCAATGAAAATTTGTTCAGAAATACACAGAAAAAAGTGCTGGTGTGTGCTTCTTCTTATGCGACAACAAATACAGAACGAAGAGGACAAAAAAAACAGACTTTGAACAATAAAAAGACAAATGTGAACTACAATCCAGGTTAGTTTAACAAAAGAGCCCTCAGCTCTCTTTTAATCTTAGTCATCACTGACAAGATCAATGCTCCAACAAAACAGCATTGATTTCTTTCAGTGATCATCATGAATTTGCCCGGAGGAGAAAAGGCCATAGTGCTGCTTCGGTTGCTACTGTGTGCGATTGTGCTGCTAAGAGCAACACCAGCTGCATTTCTCTCTGTTTTAGACGCTTCAATTTCAGAAAGAAACATCATACTTTAGAAATGAACATTAACATGCATTTACCTTCGTTAATATTCATCCATCTTCAGGAGATCTGACTTGGACAGTTTTCTTTTCATTGCAGTTGATTTATAAGCAACTGTAATGCTTATAAATCCAATGCAGTTGATAGATCTCACTCAGACATGAGGGCAGTTAGATTGTGCCATTGCAGTGTATTAAGGAGAAAGAAGCATTGACTTTCAGTCTTCATTCATGCAGGTGTATCCTCTGCTGAGAGCAGACATCTTTATGACAGTTTTACTGCAGATCTTTTCGCTGAGCTGGCTGAAAAATGTGACATCTTTCTAGTCGCCCATTAGAAGTCCACATAAATTAAATTTCCAATACAACAGGCCTCTTCAGTACATGCACCAGGCTTGTGCGGAATAAAAAATCATATATTTACCATATGTAACATTCAGTGAACATTTTAGGAAGGTACAAAGTGGACAAAAAAAGGATCTATTTCCTGCCACTTTTAGACTCCTGAGAATCACCCAAACAGTGGAGCTGTGAGTAAATTGCTCACAGGACATTCAATTGCGTAATGAATTTATTGATGTTCTGTCCCAGTCGAGCTCCACAGTATCCTTCAGCATGTTGTCAGCAGGGCTGGCACCAACCAAGAGGAGACTACTGCACTGTAGTGAAATATAATTCAAAAATAACACAGACATCCTCTAGCACAATTCAGTTTGTGTTCTATGAGACTCCTGCAAAGATATTCTGCACCATCTCCCCCTAAACTTCCACTAGACCTTTGGGGTTTGTATATTTTCCTATATGTAGATAATAACTTAAACCTATATTAACTTGTAATAACAGCTCATTTTACTCGGTGAACTGAGCAACAATTTGTCTTTTTGAAGACACAGCATTCATGTAAGTGATGACTGCATGCAGCCAGGAGTCAGCTGACACAGTTTGCAAATTTTAGTTGCTGTCTTTTTCAAGGAGACGAGCTTATAGATTAAAGCTCAATATTTTGATATCTCTGCCCTGATGAATCTGCTCCTAAGATACACAACTGACTTTTAGGCGGAGACCCGTATGGTCTTCAGAGCCTGGAGACTTCTCAGGCAGAAGCAAAAGACGCACAACCACGACAGCAGGGTGAGGGCAGACCCTCGCTCGTTGTTTTCTGCCCTGTCACCAAGGAGCCCTCCGAGACGAACGAGCACTGAGCTGCATCACGACCTCCCCTATGATTTCATGCTTTGATGCTCTTCACTCGTAGCACCACAAACTGTTTCAGCATCACACGAAAACAGCCATCCTGTTTTATTCATAAAACATTGTACGTTGTGCGCCCTGTGGCATCGCCTTGGTACCTGTATCTGTCACTCTTTCTATTTTATGTTCCATTTTTTACACTTTCTCTTTCATCCAGTTTGTTTTCTTTACTTATGTCTCTTGTCTCTACACAGTTTACACTCCTCTGATCTCCTCTCTGTTTTAGAGTATTTGCCTTAGTTTTCTCTCTGCGTTTTGCACCATCGGCGGCTCCTTTATGCTGAGCAGCATGTAATCATGTTTGTGCTACATCGTGACACTTTGATGGGATTCATCCCTTCTGCCTCCTGCCAGTTTTGTTTCAGTAAAACAAAACTGAAGTCATTGCAGAGGGCTCCAGATACAAATACATGTATGGTTAAAAGTGAGAAAAATAAGGCAGTTTGACAGAGACAGAAACCCATTATAAAGTTTTGCAGAAAGGCTTAACATTGTTTACATTGTTGTCCTGTGAAAGTTTCTTATACCACCTAAAGATTGTACGTCTTTAATTCAACCATAAAACAATTACATTTCACAAAGCAGGGACTCCTAAAATCTAATTAGCTTACTGATGTGATGTTATGGCTCAGACAAGACTTAGGTCTGAGGACTGAAATATCATGAAAGGAGATTTATTTAGTGGTGCTGAACCACCTGTGATCTGCTGCACATTGGATCAATGATCTACTCTTTGACTGTCTATATGTGAATGTCCAAGCAAGAAGCAATTTTATTGTAACCATTTATCAACTCACGAAGATCAACACACGTCACTTGAATTGCATGATCTCTTGTCTTCCCAATTTTGAAGAGCGGCTAGTGAAAATGACCTCATGTGTCATGTCGTAGTTTTGCCCCAAGAAAAAAGACATATATAGAGTTCTACTGAAATTCGCAAAACTCTGCTCAACTTTAAAGAAAAGAAAAACAAAAAAACTAAAGTATAATTACTTAAGTTAGATTTATTTTAAATGGTTTTTTAGGAGAAGCAAAATTGCACCACTGGAGGATTTTGAAAAAAATAAAAATAATTTATTTTCTATCATAGAGTAATTTTTTCATCAAATAAATATATTCAGATTACAGGTCAGAATTTTAAAAATGTATATATTTTTTATGTGAAATGATGCAAATATAGTAAAATGAACATTTATTTTAAGGATTTTCACACTGTCAGGGTTGCCACAAAATCTGTCCAGGAGGCTCGTTGCAGAGAGTGCTGGAGACGTCAGCTTTCTTCTTTCAGATACCACACTAAGTCCCGTCACATACACCCTCTCTATGCCCAGCCCTCTGACACCCCGAAGATGAAAAAAATAATCATTTCTTTGACTTTAATTCAACACACACACACACACACACAAATCCAGAGCTAGCTGCACTATTCAAGCAGCCTAATCTCTGCAGCGATGTTGGGATCTTACTGCAGTTTAGCCATGCTCAGCTGCACCAGGGCCACACAGCTCCACACATTCAACCAGCATGCTTTCACACTGGGACGAAAAGTGTAAAACAGTACGAGTGCTGTTGCAATGGAGCCAAAGAGAGAAGCTAGAGTACAAAATAGTGTACAAGAGGTCAGTTGACAGGAGACAAACATGAAAAGGAATAAAAACAGTCAAGTTTAGGAAACTAAATGAGACGAGGGGAGTCTCAGGAGGAAAAAGTCAGCCTACAAGAAGAAATAAGTAATGATAGGGTGATGCAATCCCTTTGTCTGTTGTGTCAAAGATAATAGCTGAGCCTCTCCCTCACTGTGTTGGTGTACTACATACTATCAGTCTCCATGTCATCGCTTCAGTCCACCTACACCTCCTACCCCATTATTCCTTCCTGACTTGGTAAGCTCTCCTCTTCGTTTTCTCTCTCCAGTTACATCCCTCCCTGTTTTTTTACGTGTTGCACTGCGTATGGTTCTTCTTCTCTTCTATGCCTTTACTTATCCATAATTCTTGCTTATGGTATTTACAGCATCCACCCCCTGCAAACCTGCCATGCCATCACGCATTCTGAGTCAACGGCAGAGGCTTTTGTGAATTATCCCTTTTATTTTAGCTCAGTCCTTGTGCTTGCGTGATTGTTTTATGGTCGACACTAGTGCAGATAGAATCAATCATAGCATTTCAAAACGTAAATTTCTCAATTTTTTTTCTTGCTTTTGTCCAGAAAATAAAAAAATAATTCGCCTTTCAGTCACTAATTTATTTTAAAATGCATTAATGTTTTGGTGAGCAGAGGAAAATCTATTTTGCCTGCGGTTAACTTGCATGGGTCAATTACCTTCACAGCTAACTCTACACACAGACACGCTCCCGCTCTCCAACACATGGTATTCCACTTCCTTATTTCCATCTGTCACAGTAAATGTTGGAAACGCATATGAACCCAGGTTATTCGGAAATAAAGGCTGGACAGCAAAACCCAAGAAATGTTTGTATTATTAGGAACAAGTCTATTGTTGTCGTTCTGAAAAAAGATTTTAAAAAAAAAAGACAATTATGACATGGGAAAGAACATATCTTTTTTGTAATGCTTATATTTGAAAGCAATCATCAGAATTTCCTGTAGCTTTCTTCAACAATAGCTTTTTATCTGCCTCTTTTTCCATGCCAGAAATATAAACTATATAATCCTGAAAAACACTGAGCTTTTTAATTTATCCTCCAATTTAGGCAACATTTTGCAATAAAGTCCCAATAAAATGCATTTGTGGTTGTAACATAACAAAATTCAAAGAGGTGAATGCCTTTGGTATGTACTTTATATTGAATATTATTCCAGAGTTAAATGTTGACTTTAAATTAAAAGAATTTAAAAAAATCAAATGCAACAAATGCAGCAATATGTATTTACTTATTTGTTTTTACATTGTGTTAGACTTCTCTGTTGTGCTTTGTCTATTGATCACCAGGTTCTCTGCCTGTGTATTTTTATACCGTCCCTCCATGTCAGCGTAATGTCCAGTCTGCCCTCAGTCACAGAGCAACAAACACTGCAGAAACTGCTTTTTTTCCCCCTATTATATAATCAGTACTTCCACTTCAATAAAATCATGGAAAATCTAAAACTGATATGGTGGAAGAAAAAACTTTCAATGCATCAAACAAAAAAACTGTTTTGTTTTTTTTAGCTTATTTCACACTGCTTCCATCTTTTTTGTTGTTGTTTTCCATAGTGTCAAAAACAAAATGTAAAATCTGCTAAATGGTACTCAGAGCATGTAATACTACTGCTAAAACAAACTTTGAGATGGTGAGAACTATCTCTTCTATACTGTTGGAAGGACTATTTAGCTTGGTTTGTGTTTCCACTTGATGAAACATTTAAATCTGTTCATTTTGTATATTCACCCTCAGACAGAGACGATAACTAGCTGTCCACGTCAATGTTTAAAACACTCACAAAATATAAAGCAGATAAAACTACGCTGTAGTTGCACAACAAACTAGCCGTAAAATGGATAGCAACAAGGTCACAGCAATCATATGAGTACATACAAACACGCACACAGGCCTACTGTGATCATCACTGGAGGAGGGGCCGAGGGGGCAATCAGAGGAAAAAAGATGAGAAGGATGGGTGAGAACAGAAGATGAAAAGAGAGGCACACTGAATGGAGGATGACAGGGGATAAAGGAGAGAGGTACAAACAAGGGGAGGCAGAAAGTACAAATATCAGCAAGGTTTATCTAGGCTACGAGAATTGATAGTGATACTTCAAAAGACGCTTTTTAAAATATAAAGTTTCTGCACAGATACGTTTGTCACTTCAATCCAAAACATGCCTGTTTGTTCTGTTTCTCTTTTGGAACACTAAGAAATTGTGCTCAAATTCTTTAAACTGACTTAAAGAAAAAAAAAGGTAGTAATAAAAATAAATATGCGTATGCATGCCCGTCTTTGATATATTTCTTGATTGTAACTCAGATTTTCAACATTTCCATGACTCTGTCTGCTTCAGGTGTTTTGCATTGTCATGCCTTGCCGTAACAGTGAGTATCTAAGGGCTGTAAGTCCAATTTAATGTCCTCTCTACTCTGGTTCTGACACAGCAAGTCAAACGCTGTAAACAGCTCTGCAGTGATGGATTGTACACCTGCAGCTACTGGGACCGTTGAAACGCCACTTCAACTCACAGAGTACACAGGGAATACCAGCTTGTCTCTTAAGCTGCACACACACAAAAACCCATACACACAAAACACACAAAGACCATTGGACTGAAACACTTCCAACACGACATTAAGGATTCTAGCCAATCTTCAGCTGGGTTGACATTTAACCTGCACTGATCTTGCTTTTCAGTCAGGTGCATGTTGTCCTGTGAGCTTCAGCAACAGTGTGGACCAATGCAATACATTTACCTGATTCATAATCATACTAGCTGTATAGGGCAGTGGTTCCCAAAGATTTTCTGGGCCCCCTTATTGATTACAATAAATCCCTCCCAAAAATGAAAGAAAAATTAACTGGGCACACACATCGTTCAAACAGATATTTTGGTTCAACCAGCTTTACATGTCAAGAACCTTTTTGCCAGTGTATGGCAAGAACGTGCCATACACTGAAGCTCAGTCAGATTGCTTGTTGCTTTTTACATTTGCATAGACTTTTGACATTTTGACAAGGTTATTCCAACACATTGATCGCAAAACCTCACAGTCAGGTTTTGCAGTCCTGACTGGTTGCATTGGGTTTTGTGTCCTACTGGAAGGTTTGTAGCCTCAGAAAGGCTCTGTATTCAGTACTATCGATCTCGAAATCAACTCTTAGCAACTTCCCTGATCATGGTGATGAAAAAAACACATCCCTCCTCGTCAGGTGCAGTATTGTTTGCCACCTCAAATGCAAATCAAACATTTCACATTTTGATTTAATAAGCTATTTTCCTTTCAGGTCACAAGTAAGCACTAATTTGCGTTGATCTAATATAAAATTCCAATAACATACATTGTTCTTTGTGATTGTAAGGTGATAAAATGTGAAAAAAACATTTAGTGTCATAACAGTGTACATAATTTGCCTGCCTTCCTGGATGATATCAGTAGAATATACCAACAGCAAAATCTAAACACCAATTGGGATCTTACCTAGCCACCCTGAGCTGGAGTTTGGGACACACATGTCTGTCTCTGCACTGGGCAGGACAAATCCCACCACAAACACTTCCACACCATCCGACATGAGCGCCATTCCCAGTACAAAGAACAGCTGCCATTGGAAGCTCCCATGGCCACACTCCTGCATGATCAGCTCATACTGCTGGGCCAGCTCCTCTTCATCTGCCTCCCTCTCCTGCTCCAGCTCACTGCGGTCTGACATCGGCTGTCCCAGCGCCACCTGTCCTTCCTTATGCTTCTTGTCTCCGGCTGAGGGGATCCCCTGGTACTCCCCCTCATAGATCTCATCCTCATCATCATGGCCCTCTGTGGCATCGCTGGAGCCTTCCTCATTGTCACGGTAACCCTCTCTTTCGTGTCCTTTCTGGTTGCGGTAGAAATCCTCGTCTTCGTCCTCCTCGTCCTGGAATCGTGTGTAGTTGCGATGAGATGAGTACTCGTCCGCAGCGCGGTCGACCACCTTGTTGACTTTCTTTGCTGTGTGCCGCTTGGCCTCCTTGACCATAACCTTGGCTCCCTTAGCCAGAGAAGTCCTGTTATTGTACGTGTCCTCCATAGTGGCTCTAAATGTTGACCTTTTCTGGTAGGTTGGAGGGCTGAATGCAGAATGATGGAGATTTGCGGCTATCAGAGGATCTGGAGATGCTGCACTCTTGAGTCACAACAGGAGATAACCCTTGAAGTCTCTGGCAATCGCTGTCATCAGCTGGGCTACAAGACACAGGGGAAAGATAAATAACAGACAAATAAGTACAAGAAGAGAACAGGGAAGGACAGATTGGAGACAAAAGAGAAAGAAAGTCAGATCTAGTGAGATTATTAATAGGTACCACCACATCCATAATCATCCTCTGATAAAAGACGACTTCCCACTGACGGCTCATAACCTGTTTAATCATCATCACACTCGTCTCCCAGGCCTTTTAATCATTTGAATTGATGTGAGACAGCATCACTTTTTTTTTTTTGTAAAGCTCAGTTTTTATTTAAATAAAAATTCAATTTCCAGAGAGTCTCTCCTTCTTCTATATTTCATGAGCTGGCATTGGTTCTGAGGCGGTGATTATTTCAAGCTGAAATGCTGAATCTGCTGACTCACAATCGGGTCTGTGAAAAGGAATCTAATAAGCAAGGATCAGTATGAAATTCAATTAATGGCGCACAGGCACGAATCTGTGCGCTTATCGCTGTGACTGTATAATGTTATTGTCAAATAACTTAATATGTACGTCATACATATTTGCTAAAGGCACATATAGCAACAGTCTACACTAATTCACAGTCAAGGCTAAGCATGATGTATTTATTTCATCTGTGTAGCGCTCAACTATAGATGAAAATGATAATAATAATGATAAAACATTATTGCAGTGTCATGTACTCACACTAAATAACTTCAGAAAATGTCAAAATTTCAATGGGAACATTTAATCAACAGGAATGAGGAAATGCCACATTACAACATTATTATTTCCTACAGAATTTACTTTGCTAGCCTGAAGCATTTAATTAAATATCAAATAATTAAACTATGTTCTGTTTTATAAATGTGCAAATATGACTTGAGACAGAGAAATGTTGCTTTTAGCCAGTGGACACTAATCTGGACTAAGAATTATTTTTTTCTTTCACAGTTAGCAGGATGCAGGATGCAGCAGAAACAAGTTGAAACTCTGGAGAGAGACAAGTGCCAAATACAATAAATGAATAACTTACTAAATAATTATGTAAATGTGCCATTATTTTTTTAAACTAGAAATAAATACAGAAAAAGTAAATAAATACAGTATTAATCATATGTGCCTCAATTAAATGTTTTGATTTTATTTTAAAGGCTGGGTGTAATTATTTCATGATTTAATAAATCATTTCATGTTCCTGTTCTAATCACAACATTAAATAATTTAACCTGTAAACTGCACTAATCAAATTCAGTAGGCAGGATTAGACATTTTCTTACAAGTTTGCTAAAACTCTGGGTCAATGTCTTTGTATTAATGTATTTAAATAATTATTTCATAAGTTATTTATTTATTGAAGCTTAGCACTCTTCACTATTCATAGGCATCTAGGTGTCAGAAAGTCTTAATAACAAGAAAGTCTTAATAACAACTATTAAACACTATCTGCATGCAGACCTGTAATGAGTACATGGCATGTCATTCGAAATACCACCACATGAAAAATTATGGTGGCTTCTATCAGAAAGCTGAAATATATTGTCACAGGGTCTTTCAATTAGATATTGATTTAAAACACAGGGCCTAATTTGCACAGAGTACACCTGATACAAATCTATATCCTTTCATGGCTATCTTACATAAATCCCATCAAAAACTTCTCTCTGCATGTCTTGGTCATGTGAAATATAAAAAGGCCAGGTCTGTCTGAAATGCCCTGTGGCCATTTGTGGCAGAACAGTGCTGAACAGGAACGAATAGATGTGGGAAGTCAGAAGAGGCAGATGATGCAGATTGACACTTTTTAAAATTTATAAGGCTATAAATTCACTGACAAAATAAACCAATCTTAAATTAAAAGACAAATAATGCAAAATACTTTTATTTTATTAACCAATTTTTTACGGTAGATACGATAGAAAACATCTAGCAGCTTTTGATCAAAAGGAACTCATTAAACGTGTCTAAATACAATCAGGGTATTTGAAGAGTTACATGGATCTCGTTTGTCACTGAAAATATGCCAAATATTTTGTGGACGAAAAAAATATAAAGCAATCAAATCCATCTGTAAATGAATTTAAACATCACGAATGAACAGAGTTCTCCTTCCGAAGTTTAGACTTCAGACTGGGAACTAAAGATCAGATTAATGACAACCAAACATTTAACATTAAAAACTAAAAAAGCCTTTCCCCATTGTAAATGTATCAAAGACTCTAGCATATAAAAAGAATATATTTTTGACAAAAACATTTCATAAGGTAAGCTGCATAATTATGCGAAGGGTGGGGATGCTCAGAGCTGCCCAGTGTCTGTGGTTCCAGTGAGTCTAAGAGCTCCTTGCTAATGAACACTGAAGCCCTGTCAGGAGGACACAAATCACAGGACCGTCTCCAGCTTCCATAATGCAATTTTACTGGGCAAAAGGACATTGCTTATTCAAGGTGACTTTGCTAATCTCTTTTGGCTCAAAGGAAGGGTTTTGTAGTAACAACTACCCCCTTTGCTCAAAGGCTGACCATGTCTGCATTGAGGCTGGCCTTCAATATTATCTATTGCAGCTGTTTTTGCAATCTAATTTATTTTTTCAAAAACAAGCTCACTCCTAATTGTTCCAAATAGATGCATACTGTTAGTTTTTTCCCCTTCCTTAAGCAACCAAAAATGTTCTAATGGATACACTTTAGGTTTGTTGGGGGAAGCAATGTTCCGTCCTATCTAAATAGTGAAGCTTGTTCAGGAAAACAAACCAAATTCTGACCTCACAACTCCTTAACTGCACATGTCAAAGTTCGGCAGTGTCACTGAACTGGAATGATCTGTTGCTTTACTGTTAAGGCAAGATGGCCAATTTCAGCTTAATAAACGCGGCATGTGGTGGATCTCGGTGAACCCTGTCTTTCAGAGAATCAACGGAGTGTACGCTGAAACGTGCTGTCAGCCGTGATGAAGCTCTGAGGACATCCTCACCTGACCGCGGCTGACGAGACCCCGACGTCTCAGACAGCCTCAGCAATCACAATCAACTTCTGTGACCCCGACACTGCCATTTTTATTTTCTGTTTTCTCAAACTACAATCTGTAGCTCTCTGTCTTTTATTTTTCTTTTCCACAGGTTCATTTTTATGGCTGAATGGATGTCATGATCATTTTATTTTATAGTAAGGCTAAATGAGCTGGGTGAAGAAATGCATTTTAAAGAAACTTTACATTGAGAGTCACGTGGCCATTAAGCGAAGACAAAAGATTTAGATGTTCGAGGTTCAGAGCTGCATGCCCAATTGTCTTCATTCAGGAAGAAATTAAGGTTACACTTTATATAGAGAGCCTTTCTGTGTTTCATAAAATTGATCTATTGGACTGTTTCTCCATAGAGATTTGTCAAAAGTGACGGAACAATAGAAGTTCAAAATAGAGAAGAAGAAATACAAAATAAATAATCAATGGTTTTTGATAAGCAAAGTCCTTGTTTTCCTTACATGATACAACTATTTCTCTGTGACGGGATAATGGATTACTTTAGTTAATGTCCCTCAGTTAACAAGAATTCTTGACGAGCGAGCGCGCTGAGGTCCGATTGGCGGTTCGTTCTATCAGCATCAGAAAAAGCAGGTCCGTTTCCTAAGCGGATAGAACCGGACATGATCCCATTGACACAGAAAGCCTGTGACCTCATCTGGAAAGCGGAGGCAGCCTGGGACGTCTTCGGTCAGGAGATTTCATAAAACTCTGATGCTATTCCCAACTCTAGAGAGAAAGAAGAGAGGGCGGTTGTGGAAAATAAAGAAACGTTTCGTAGGAATTATATCATCCCTGGACTCTGCCACAAATTATATAAGCGACTTCAGAAGCTCAAATAATTTTAAGCTTTGCTACATCATATAAAATAAGTGGAGCCCCAGAACAGGCTGACATTTGTCTTTCTAAAGCAAGAAATGTTAATATTAAACCAATATTTTCTGTCACTTCAACATCTATGTGTAGAAATTGCATAGGTCCAGCAACAAAAAGACATTTTAAAAATAATGTAGAATAATTTATATAATGTACTTAATTAAGAAAATAAGTTCAATACAAATAAATTTTTAAATTGGCAACTCAAACTGATAAATAAAACATTTCTAGTCGTTCAACTTTTTACATTAAGTTTTTTCAAAGAAACAATTTTAACTATATCTTATTAATCAAATGGAAGTGAAAAGAAAGCATCTGCACAACTGAAAGTCTATGAACAACAAGATAACAGCATGTATCTAAAATCAATCCAGATCATCTTCCTAAATACACATTTACAACCTTCAAGCTCAGATAGATCGATGCTAAAAAAGCTTAAGGAGTTTCACAGTTTCATGGCAGCAGTCATTAATTCGTACAAACAACTATCATGGATGCAGATGAGCCTCTCATTCCTAACACATCTCTGTTGTCCTCGCGACAAAAATGTCATTCCTAACGACTACGTCTTCTCTTAAAATCTGGTTTGTTGTGGATGTTGCAAAATTGGTTTGTGGTTAAGGCAAAAGAAATTACTGAAATAGTTTCTTTTTTAACTTAACCACAGTTAAGATGAAGATTATCAGTAATGACTCAGTAATGGCTCAGCAGCTAAGCTTGCTGGCAAGTTAGCACTGAAAACTACTTCGAGGAACACTACAACACTAAAACCTCGCCACTGGCCTTCACCATTCCTCACTAATAGGTTTTCACTTATTCCACTTCTGTCTTAGTTACCACTGGATGCAATTTTTAGTTGAATATCGCAACAATGCCTGAAAGGACAATTGCTCCAGAGCGCTGCTGCTCAAGTTCTCAATAAAACCAAGAAGATGGAGCCCATCCTCCCAGTCCTGCAGGCCTGACACTGGAACTCTGTGGCTCAGAGAAAAGACTTTGAGATACTGTGGTTAGATTACAAATCAACGGTTTACCACTTGTCTTGTCTTGTGACAATGCATGCCTCAATGAATGTGAATAACGGCTGAACTAAACAACTTCAAATAAATGTTTGGGGTGTTTTTTCCACAAACAGAATCGATGTTTTCAAGAAAAACAATAAAAAGGTGAAATAGTATCTTTTCTTTAGACAGAGAGATATATGAATCAGATTCTATCATCAGCTTCATTAGGCGGCTCAGGTGTAAGACCATCCATTCTCACCAAGCTTACAATATGAATAGCACAGATTGGGAAAAACACTGAATCTCCACACAGTTGATAAAAAAAATATTTAAACTGACTAAAACTTTCCTCTCTCTTTTTTTTTTTTTTTTGCTTCCTTTTGCCCTTCGGACGAGATGACACCCATTCTGTCCACATTAAACCACCAGAGTAACAAAACAGAGAAAAGAAAAAAAAACTTTGATGAATTTTAAGCAGTAACAAACAATGCACTCAGCAGCTTGCAGTCACTTTACCCAAAGTTTGTTTTCCTTTTCTTCGCGTGCTCTCATCAGTGTTAACGCAGCAGGGCGGCCGCGGCGGTGCAAGCAAAGCACTTTGCCACAGATTTCCAGTTCACCGGCTGTGCGCCTGTCAATCGCTCGCTGCGTCTCGAGGTGCAATTCGGGGACGGCTCGGTTGCCTGCTCTCGCATCCTCTCTTCCTCCTTTTTTTTCGGCGGCGGTGCAGAGTGCTTTAACCGCCTCGGGGCGGGCGGCTTCACGGCACAAAAAGCGTGAAGGATCCGCAACAGAACCAGCTCCGCTCCACGAACAAGACTTACAGAACACCGGGTTGTGTGGTTTGTGACACACAACTCGGACGTTATAGAGCGAGATAAGAAATATGTGCAACTCGGCAGCACAAAAACACAGTTTTCTGCAACGCGTATTTTATGTACCTGGTCATTTTGTCAGCTTTTTGTTTGTTTGTTTGTTTGTTTGTTTGTTTGTTTGTTTGTTTGTTTGTTTGTTTGTTTGTTTGTTTGTTTGTTTGCAGAAGTCTTCGCTTTTGGGAGATTTAAAAAAAACAGGAAACAAACCAACTTCTAATAAATTGCAATGAAAAAAAAAACAAAAACAAACTTAGACTATACAATCATCTGCTATGTTTGGGAATGAGGCTGAAAAAGTGCAAACAGTGCGGCACGCAAAAAAAAACCCCACTAACTCTCCAGACGTCACGTTCAGCAGCTTTACAACAAAAAAGTATTTTCCTACCGTCTTTATGGCGTGAAGAGTGGACTGAGCCGAAAGTAACCCATTGCAGCACAATCCGTCATCCCTTCATGGTAAATAGTGAGGATCTTTCTGGGATGTTGGTTTTTTGTTTTTTGGGGATTTTTTTCCCCCACCCGGTGAGGATCAGGATCGGAGGAAACTGCCAGCGCACGACAGGCTTTTCTTTTCTTTTTTTTTCTTTTCTTCCCCCTCCGATGCAGTCCTCTCTGGCTGCATGCAGCACTTCGGGAGATGAGTGAGGGAGTGTGGTTGCAGGAGAGCCAGAGAGAGGGGGCAGTGTAATCAATAATTGCATTTCATTGAGTGATGCGGGTAATTCCGTCTGATGGAACAATCTCGTTAGGAGACTGACGTGAAAAGCTGAATGCTGAACAGAGAGGGGAATGTGTCATTTTGGGAAGGCAGGAAGAGCTGCTGCCGGGGCTCTCTGACTCGTTCAACTCCGGCTCTGTGTGTTTTGGGCTAATAGGAGCAAATGTGCGTTTTGTGGTGGAACATTTACTGCAAGTCTCAACGGCATCCCTAGTGAAGCACGGTAGCGGTAGTGGCATGCAATGTGGATTTTTTTTTTCTCAGAATTGACAGGATATAGCTGAGCTCTATTGTTTATTAGCTGCAGATCAAAGTTTTTTTTTTTAATTAATATTTTGAGCAAATACTGACTTGACTGAGGGGGAAGCTTACCTCTCTATAAGTAGCTACAGGGTTATTTTGCAAATTCCGCACAATTCTTTCAATCACATATATTTTTTGCTTTTTGCCTCTCTTTTGTGATTTTCTGGATCAGCCTTAATCATTCATGCTAAAAGAAAACACTATTTGGAAGTTCAACTTTGCACCTTAAAAGCATCTCTGAAGCTGCACGTAGCATGTATATTTATTTCTGCCACCGATCGCAGCGCTGACAGATCAACACCTGAACGTTTTAGCAGCTGAGTGGTTCAGATTTGGGTCTCAATTAAAAGCTTTTGTTTTGTATAATTCATTACTGTGTCAGCACTTCTCTCAAAATCCAGGTGCACAATTAAATATGTCCTGTATACCATTCTGAAAAGAGTAAGTTTTTGAGACACCTTTTTAAGCATTTTCCCTCATTGTAGATAAACACACCATAAACGTTCACTAGATTTGATTTATAGGAGAAAATATTTAGTTGTTTGTCTAAAAAGATCATAAATGTGTCAAGACAAAAAAAAATGCTGAACACATAAAGCATTTGAAATAAAAGCAATAATATAATGTTCATCATGATGATGCAAAATATACTTTTTTTCTGCTTCATATCACGTTATAAAATTATTCCCTCATCCAAAAAATACATGTAGTGCTGCTTTGATTCTTTCATGGATGTTTGAGTGCATAAAACTTTTGCTTTCACCAAATGCCACCTATTTCCATGCAGCTCCTCCTGGGAGCTGCAAACTCCAGCTGAGCTTTTGGATCACAGATCAACCCTCCCCTCCTGCAACTCCAAAATCTGTAATTACAAAATTAGCTGTGGAATGTGAATGACATTATAATTTCCTCCATCATCTCCTGGGACTGAGGAAAAATGTTGAACAGTTTGAGAAAAGTTTTACTCATTTGAGAAGCATCGTCAACTTTTGCATTACTGAAATTTATTGCCTACTTCATCGTTATTAACAATTCATAAGGCCAATATTAACATTTATAGCTATTGTTCTTTCAAATTAAGCCAAAACATGTTTTTGGCTCCAGGCTTTGCTCCGGGAATCTGATCACGTTAAAAACAAAACAAAAAAAATTGCATTCTCTAACTTCATTCATAGATAAAGTTCCCATAAGATGCCATCATACACTATTCTCAGCTGCACCAGCGAGAGTAAAACTACTGAATATCACACAACAGAGATTATGCAATCTGTCTTTTTTTTTTTTTTTTTACAACTATTTCATACATTATTGCATTCTCAGTAGATGAACTGACTCTTTAGCTGAAGTGTGAAACAGTGGCTCCCTTTAATCCCGGTGCTTCCGATCCTAATGCCTTTGAAACCAAAGACTGATTACCCGAGGGAATAGAGGAAGGGAAATGAGGGGAATAGCCAACTGATGCAAGCACCAGGACATCCAGCGCTACAGTTTTGTAGCGCTGTACCTTCACTGAAGGCTTGAAGGTACACCGACACAGTTAGAGATTCTGCTGCCCTGTCCACTGCAAAAATGATTGTGTATCTGGTCAGCCTATTTCTAGTGTGAACACCAAGATAGGAGAGTGATATTACGCGTGTATCGTTTTCACTTCAAACATCACAGGATAATAAAGATACACTGTGTAAAACGGTGTCATTTTAAACTAAAGCTTAAAAATGCATGGATAAAAAGAAAAGTGCAGCTACTTACCTGAATTTGAATCAGGAAGTAGTGACTTGGCATTTAGGACTGTACCATTATTTGTTTTGATTGTTTCGGTTGTAAAACACATCCCCCTCAAGCCGTGAGACTCCATTTACTTCTGCAGGAGCAGTGGGGAGCACTTAGCTTAATGTACAGGACAGTAGGATGACTGTCACACACATACACACACACGCACACACACGCAAAAACACACGCATGCACACACGTAAAGAGGCAGAATACAGCACATGAAAGAGACTGCTCTCTCTTTTATCCTGGTCACTACAGCAAACACACACACAAAAGAGATGCTAAAAGGATTTCCAGTATTACAATAAAAACACTCTTCTAACATGTTTGAACTATAGCTGATAAAGATCTTGTGAAAAGTGCATGTTTCATCTGGAATGTTTTCATTCCCGATGACAACATGAGGATCCACTGCACCACTATTATTTCAGTGTTTGTTTATTCTCAAAACTAACTTCAGTCCAAAAGGGCAATAAGCTGGTCTTCAATGAACAAATGGCCCTATTCCAAGAAAGGCAAAGACAGAAGCAATACCTGCCAAAACTCAAAATATTTGGGGCTGCAGGGTACTTCATATGGCTGGTGCAGATAGTGTTCCTTACAATTTTAAAACCGACACGGGGCAAGTCGAACCACCACCAGATCTACCAGACATGGTACATCTACCAAGGAATCAGAACCAAAGAATTAGAACTACAAACTCTCAACAACAACAAAAAAAAAGAACCTGCAGTCCTACAGTGAACTACAATGTGAATCTGTGGCACAATCCATAGATAAACAGATAAACAGATGGTGATTCACAGATATGTCAATAATCAAGTACCAGAAATGTGATATACACTCTTTTTCACATCAATAAGATATTCCTTCCTCATGTTTTACATATAATAGGGAAAAAGACTGACAGCAACATTCTTAGTGATTCTAACTCCACCAAACATACAAACACACAAATGCTCGTTTTAGAAATTTGCTTAAATGAAGCATTCGTTGATGAAAGTTAGTTGTTTATTTTATATTTGGTGAGTTGGAACCATGTTTGATTTATTTGTCAGCAAAAAGTTTTTTTTATGAATATCATTTTTGATTGATTTGTATTTCATTTCTCATAATCACTGTAGAAAACCTTGGTGTTTTAGACCCGTTGGAGCTCAATGTTGCCCTGAGGCAACAAACCCAAATCTGGTTCCAGGAGGTTATCAGGGTCTGATTTTATGATTGATATGTAATTAAGGACCACTGAGCTGCCAAAGAATGCAGGAAAATATTTTTCCCCCCAAAAATAAAAAGTCATGCCATATAGAGGGTTAGAAAAATATGTTTTTTCCATTGTATTCTTGTGAAGCAAATTCCAGTCCTTGTTGTCTCTGCTATTACTTGCTCTTCATGCGTGAAACTGATCACAAACTGGATGTAGCGCTGCTCCTGCCTGTGATCGATTTTCAGTAAGACGTGATCACAGACTGCCATAACTCTTCAGGACAACAACTAATGGGCTGTCATCAATTGTAACATCGTCAACCCATTTTTCTCAGATATGAGACAATGATGACTCCTCTGCAAGACAGTGGAACCAGATTGTGTTGTAGAGTTATTTGCCCCTGCTTGCTGTTTTCATATTAGTTTTCATTACTTGTTGATGGAACAGGACTCCCCCCTTAGGACAGTCTAATCCATCACTTCTTTTCTGCCAGTGACACAAATGTCCTTTGATGATGCTTGCATAAAACTTATCATAGCTGTTAAGCTCTGCTCTGTGTAGTCTGGAATCATTTCATACAGCATTAAACAACAGATCAGATTCAACAAGGCAGAATATTTCTTTTGTTACATGCGGACAAAATTGATGAAACGAGATACAGGGATCAGCTGGAGTAGCCGACATGAAACACTGTGAGCTCACCAGTCAGTCCGAGCATCTGTCTCAACAAACCAGAAGCTCTGCAGTGTCCAGATTAGCTGGTGTTTATTTGAATTAAGAAGCACAGCAAACAGATGCCTCTCCAACGTTTCTCTCATGTTCTCAACAAAGCTGGTGCTGCAGAGATTGTGAATGGATCTCTGAACTGTAGCATATGTATGAACTACAAATCTAAGCAAATGCAGTTAAAACAACATTGGAACACTTCAGTAGTGGGAATTATTCATGCAACATGTAGAAAGCGTCACAGATTTGTACGTTCATTTAATGAATGAGTGTTCTCTTCTAGATCCATTCAAATAATTTGTCATATATAGTATTATAGTTTGATCTTCATAGAAAAACTAATATGCGCCCAATGGGATCCGCAAAGTCAACAGTATTAAAGGTGAGTTGATTTGAAATTGATAAAATCTGATGTGTAGTCTTGCTGTAAAGGTGAGTTACGTCTCTTTTTGCTCAGCTGAACTTTCTCAAGAAAGGGGGCTTTAATACAAATAAACAGCACAGTTATTAGTTTTATTTAGTAAAAAACACACACACACATACACAATTTTCATTCCATTTTAAATCATTCCCTACTTTCTACAAGTCTACTGGAAAAATTTTCAATAAAACATTGAAGTTTATGATGACAATATGACAAATTGTGGGAAAAGATTAGAAAGAGTAACACATATGTGAGTCACTGTAAAAACATTACATTACTGCAAACATTTGTCCCATCTATTTTTGCAAGGTCCTCTTTGATCTATTTTTCGTGGATACTTGGCTGAGCTTAAATACCAGAGGGAGGAAAGCTAAATGGATTGTGATTACTGTCCTGGAACAAATTGAACAGTCTATACACAAGAATGTGAGCTGAATATCGTTTCAATCAAGCAAGATGCATTTTGTTTTCTAGTAGGGAGGTACATTTTTAAACTGGGGTTTGAGGCAGTAATTCC